ACCCCACAGAATGAGAGCCTGGAAGAGAGTAATTTTGCTCATTCGTTACCGCTCCAAACACGCTACCGATTTTGACCCCAGATCGAAATGTTTCAATTTTGAACATAACTTAATTGAGTCCCGAACTTTTTTATCTATATATTTACACTACTGGAAAGGTTCGATGGCTCTGAACAGTTTAAAAGCCAAATCTCAGAACAGAGAGTATGACTAATTTGAATCATTGCTTTTACAGGTCGTGCAATTTGTATCATCTGTATCATTTCATGAAATCTGAAATGAAAACCTATGGAATCGTATCAAACCGAAAATAAAAAAGAGTGGATGTATCAATTCGTCATGTGATGGGTGCAAAAAAAAGACAGTGTTTTGACCATTTTTTCGATTGAACTTGGCCTTGATAAAAGACAGGCCATAGGCCGAACTAACTCAAATTGACTTCTTTTCCTTTTACCCTTTTCTTTCTTTTTTCGTCTTTGTATTTTGTCTTTTTTCCCAAGATGCTGACAAAATAGGCGTGTCGGGGGCCTGACCTTTTGATGCCCATATTTGGAGTTTGAGGGTAAAAAAACTGGGTTATACTTTAATCGGATTGCAACGTGAGCTGAGGACGGAGAACCGTGAAAAAACCCGAGTGAAATGGCATGTGATGATTTCCTATTTCACCATCTAGTCGTTTTTTAGTGAAAAAATGTTAACTCATTCTTTTTCTCTTCACAGACTACCTATACTGACAAAGGAGAGAAGGTAAGCTCCAAGCAGTTATAACTAGATGTTGTAATCGTAATTGTGTTTCATTAGCTTGATCTTTCTAATCGTTTCGTTCAAAACTTTTATATGTCTTTATCTTAAATTAAACAAATGGGGATCTCTATTGGAGTGTAAACATGTATCTATCTATTTTCAGCCGGAGGTTGGGTCTTTTGTGGCTTTTGATCACATCACATTTTGGGTCGGAAATGCTAAGCAGGTTAGTAAAAAATATAATTATCATCTGCCTCGAGGGGCCACGAGTGTATTTTTACTGCAAAGAAACAATTTTAAAAAAATAAATAGATTTTCATAAGTGCTGTACAAAATGGAGCAAATAAGCTCGTTTATGGTCGTAAACAATGCTTCACGGTCGTGCATACGGCTCTATGAGAAGTCAAATTCAAGAAGACAGATGAAAAGCAGCTACTGTAGTTATGTGAGGAAACGGTTGGAAATTGAGTTAGGTCGAGTCAGGCAAGAAAACATGTGGATCAAGGAGGCTCATTTTGTACATTATGACCTCTAGCCAAATATTTTCCTATCGTGCTCTTCCACTCATACAATAAGTAAGTACCGGTATATGTAACCTAGAATAACATTATTTTCTTTGATGGTTATACGGTTATTTTATACTCTAAGGTTGATCATTATTACATTTAGAGTTTTAGATTTGAAGCTTTGAGAGTTGTGAGCAGTGGGAAAGTTTTATTTTGATCAAATGTTTTTTCTCTGACTGAGAAAACATTGGAATTGGCTGAGGTTGCAATACTCACAGGGACTCAAACTTCTTGTTTATTCTAGGCTCTTCACAAATTTTTACTTTTAAACTCTTTATGTGCAGACTAATTCTATGGTAGATATGTGATCATAAATTAAGTAAGTTTTTCTGTTTACGCGTGGATCTGGGAAGCATAGAACATTCAATTAGGGGATTCCATATGCTAATCTTGTAGCATTAGCACAGCCTCAGGAATTTGGGGAGAGCATAGTCTCATTAAGATGAAGGATCAATTGTTGAATGTGACAGATTTATTGGTGAGGACTTTAATGTGGGAATGACATTTAATTTGGTAAAATTGAAGAACAGCTCCCCAATATCTGTCGCCCGACTATTGTGCCTCTTTGAAAAAATATACTCGTGCTTACTTATTCCAGATTCAAAAACGAGTAAATAGACTGTCATCTTGGTAAGTTTGAACTTTCACAATGACCTCAAAAGTTCATTTTGTTGGCCAACTGTAATTGTGAAAGTTCAAACTTACCAGGATGACAGTCTATTTACTCGTTACTTATTTATTCCAAATTCAAAAACGGCCAAATTCAAATCCCCGGCCGGACCAACACTCAAGGTCTTAAAATAACCGAGGAGAATGTGCTACCTTTCTATAATATCAAGAAACAGATAGACATTCTAGTCTTCTCGGATAAGGACGAATAAACCGTAGGTCTTGTCACCACAAGTCCCTGGTTCTATCACATTTACTCCATCTCATCTATTAATCAGTTAATTAGCATCTATTAATTAGTTAATTTGGTTAGGCAGGGGATGTTAAAGGACCCACTCACGAGATTACTGTGATGTGGTCTGGCCTGTTTACTGGAATTGGGGGCAGGGGGCATCTGTTAGATTTACCTTTAATTGATTGTAAACTGCTTAGCAGTCTGGTAAAGTCCCCCGCACTGTGTTGTAAAGTGGCATGAGCTCAGGATATGAGCGCTAAAGAAATAAAAGTTATTATTGTTATTATAAAATTATTAATAATAATATTATTATTGTAGCTTTACTTATCAGATTATTAGACTTTGAATCTGTTCAGATTTGACTCCGTTATTTATACTTTTCCAGACGCTTTGACATTAAAAAAAAGGAGTAGATGTGAGCCGAAAGTGAGTTATTTTGGATCTTTTTTTACGCTGTTAATATTTTGTATTGTAGAGGATTTTATGGAAATTATTGCTAAATAAAGATTATTATTATTA